GGACCATTACAATGAAGACTATAGTTGTATGGATAACAGATAAGGACCATTACAATGAAGACTATAGTTGTATAGGATAACGGATAAGGACCTATTACTAATGAAGACTATAGTTGTATGGATAACGGATAAGGACCATTACTAATGAAGACTGTAGTTGTATTGATAACGGATAAGGACCATTACTAATGAAGAATGTAGTAGTATGGATAACGGATAAGGACCATTACTAATGAAGACTGTAGTAGTATGGATAACAGATAAATACCATTACTAAGAAGACTGTAGTAGTATGGATAAGAGATAAAGACCATTACTAAAGAAGACTGTAGTTGTATGGATAAGAGATAAAGACCATTACTAAAGAAGACTGTAGTTGTATGGATAAGAGATAAAGACCATTACTAATGAAGACTGTAGTTGTACGGATAAGAGAGAAAGACCATTACTAATGAAGACTGTAGTCGTATGGATAAAAGATAAAGACCATTACTAATGAAGACTGTAGTCGTATGGATATGAAATAAAGACCATTACTAATGAAGATTATAGTAGTATGGATAAAAGATAAAGACCATTATTAATGAAGACTGTAGTAGTATGAATAAAAGATAAAGACCATTACTAATGAAGACTGTGGTAGTATGGATATGAAATGAAGACCATTACTAATGAAGAGTATAGTAGTATGGATAAGAGATAAAGACCATTACTAATGAAGATTATAGTAGTATGGATAAGAGATAAATACCATTACTAATGAAGACTGTAGTAGTATGGATAAGAGATAAAGACCATTACTAATGAAGACTGTAGTAGTATGGATAAGAGAAAAAGTCCATTATTAATGAAGACTGTAGTTGTATAGATAAGAGAAAAAGTCCATTATTAATGAAGACTGTAGTTGTATAGATAAGAGAAAAAGTCCATTATTAATGAAGACTGTGGTAGTAGGGATAAGAGATAAATACCATTACTAATGAAGACTGTAGTTGTATAGATAAGAGAAAAAGACCATTACTAATGAAGACTGTAGTCGTATGGATAACAGATAAGGACCATTATTAACGAAGACTGTAGTAGTATGAATAAAAGTTGTTTTGATACTTGGATAATTTCTCAATCATTTTTAAGACATTCTGTTAAATGTCTTCTTGGCTATTGCTGTCGACAACCTGGCTGATGCGGAGAGTCTGACTGCCATTGAGAAGGTATGTGAATAGTACAGAATATTGAAAATCAGCTTTGAAGAACCTAATTTTATCATTATAACTTAGAAGTCGGCTCGTAATTGTCAGATTTCTAGTTATGTATGGATTGTTCTCATCGTACGTCGAGTACTGTAAGCCTTTCACTATGTTCGACTGCTAAATACGCATTATCGTATTTACCGGTATGTGGGTTTAGTAGTGTATCAAAACATCACTAAGTACACCTGATGTTCATTATCGTATTTACCTGTATGTGGGTTTAGTAGTGTATCAAAACACCACTAAGTACATCTGAAGTTCATTACCGTATTTACCGGTATGTGGGTTTAGTAGTTTATCAAAACATCACTGAGTGCATCTTAAGTTCATTACCGTATTTACCGGTATGTGGGTTTAGTAGTGTATCAAAACATCACTAAGTACACCTGAAGTTCGTTACCGTATTTACCGGTATGTGGGTTTAGTAGTTTATAAAAACATCACTGAGTGCATTTTAAGTTCATTACCGTATTTACCGGTATGTGGATTTAGTAGTTTATCAAAACATCACTGAGTGCATCTTAAGTTCATTACTGTATTTACCGGTATGTGGGTTTGGTAGTTTATCAAAACATCACTGAGTGCATCTTATGTTCATTACCGTATTTACCGGTATGTGGGTTTGGTAGTTTATCAAAACATCACTGAGTGCCTCTTAAATTCATTACCGTAGAACATGTCGACAAGTTTAAAAATCCGTGTACAGAGTGAAAACACCGACCATTGTATTTCTCTGTTGATAATTTCTAGATTATATCCTCAGATTTATTTTTGAAAGAAAGTAATTTACGTTTTCTGTTTTTTCTGAATCATATTCCAATTTTAAATAACCTTTAAACTGTTTATGTTTCTAATGTTACTGAGTTACCTTCCAATCTTGAATTTTAACCTCCTTGTTCTATATTTATTTGAAATAAAATAATATTTCTTTCTTATGAAATTGTTTTGCTCCATGTTCTATTTAAATGTAAATTGTTATAATATTTTTTACGCTTTTTCTCACGGTAATGTAACTAATACCCAAGTAAACTTCAATTTATATATTTTCATAGATCACTGATGATAGAATTTGTAGATTCTGAAACTTTTGTTTAGATATGCTTATTATTCTTGGCACGTGTTTCTTCTGTTTAATTAACTTCCAGATTAAATTTGTCGAACCTATCATTAGATCACCAGATCTAAATTATAGAATTTATAAAGAAGCTGAAGGAAACTTTGAATGTCTTTTTTTTAGGTAAACTTTCCAGGTGGACTTTGCTTTACTATATTCGATCAGAATACTTTTTTTTACTCCTCCGAATAATATTACACGTGTTACAGATATTTATTGGTGAATGTAATCATAAGACTTTATTCTAACAAAAAGGATCAATAGTTAAAATAACTATCTGATGCAGGAAGAAGAGGATGGGGAAGGCGAAACTGGGGAGGAAATACAAGATGTAGTGGATGGTGACGAGGACGTTAACGAAAACCCACCCGAAAGAAAAAATAAAAGAAAGAAAAAGAAGAAAAAGAAACTGATGGATGATGAAATAGAAAAAGAAAAGTTAGGACAGTTAGAAAGATTTGATACTTCCCAAATGAACCATACACCTTATGTCAGGGCGTAAGTAGTAGTGTTTAGTAAACACCTTATGTTAGAACATGAGTACTAGTACTAGTACTTACGTTCTGACATAAGGTGTTTACTAAACCACTAGTACTTACGTTCTGACATAAGGTGTTTACTAAACCACTAGTACTTACGTTCTGACATAAGGTGTTTACTAAACCACTAGTACTTACGTTCTGACATAAGGTGTTTACTAAACCACTAGTACTTACGTTCTGACATAAGGTGTTTACTAAACCACTAGTACTCATGTTCTAACATAAGGTGTTTACTAAACCACTAGTACTTACGTTCTGACATAAGGTGTTTACTAAACCAAATCTAGTTATGAAAAATATATTTTAAGCTACATACATGCATATGCATTGGTTGAATGTTATATGTTTTTCAACATTTTACTACTGCTTTTTTTCCCACCCAACTATTATTTACTGAACCAAGTGGTTTTGTGCCTGAGGTTACGTGTAAACACGCGTTTAATAAGTGTCGGGTACAAAGGAAGCCGCATTCGCACGGTTTCAAATAGTATATATATATATATATGTAGGTTTTGGTGCAAAAAAATCAGCCGATTCTGCTGTAGGCTCGTGAAACAAAAATATGAATAATAGTGTTACGACAGCGGAAGTTATGTGACGCTAGTAACTCG